TGGTGTTAGAAGGATTATATATATAGTCTGTTTCTGAGTAGTATTGGCAGTATTTACCTTATTTACCTGTGTTTTTACCTGGGTTAACCCTTCTATCTAAGGTGGTGTTCTATCTAAGCTGAAAGCTGATCATATTTAATTTAATTATACATCATAAAAGATTTTCAGATTTTTAATAACAAATGTTGAAGTTCAAAATATTTCAATATTAATCATATATAAATTGATATATATATAAACTAATATATCCATTCTGTAGTCCTTGTGCTGCTGATATGACATATGACAATAATAAATATGTTATTTTATTTAGTAATAATTTTGTACTTTAAACATATTATTAAAATAATGATATGAATAGTTATAAAATGAAACTTTTCTTAATTATTATAACATTTAATAAGATGCCTAAATACCTAGTAAGAATGGATATTTGTGACTAAGAGTGTGGTGTTTAACAGTTGATAATTAAACTATAATGAAAAAGAAATTAATCTAAAGTCTAAGATGTTAGAATTTAATAACTTCATTTCCATCCTGTTGACCTAGTAGTGATCACGACGGTCGGCGGACCTATGCTAATTAGTGAGATAACGATGAGTTTTACCATTAAGTCTAAGCACACCTTGAGAACCGGACGATGGACTTTATGAGTACGCGAACGCAGCAGCACATCTCTTACATCTGGGATAGATTACAACAGAAATGTGTGACACTTGACTGTCAGACTGTAGTGTATATTTGCGATAATAACAGTTCTTATTTTTTCCTCGGACATTTTTATTTTTGATGCAACAATCCCACATTATGTTGTATCTCGGCATCATTTGTTTGTGTTTAAATAATAAATTAAATTACTAGTGCCAATTGGAGGGTGAAACAATTCATAAATAGCTTTCAAAATGATGTCTTATCTACAAAGGGAAGCTTTACTGTACAGGGATTTTATGACATGATTCCTTAGAAGATATATCAATTTGTATTTTATCAAAATATCAATAAAAAAATCCATTGATTTGAAAAATATTTCATTATTTAATTAAAGAAAAAAGATCACATTCCTAAATATTAAAAAAAAAGAGAATCTGAACATGGATTTGAACTTGCACGTTTCACTTCTTCTGGTCAAAAGTAAACTGCGTTACACATTCTGCTGCATCGGACATACACTAATATGGAAATACAATCTGTTTTAATCCAAGAAACACCTGTCTCAGTTTTGAGTAACTTGATTTACCATGATTTTCATTATTTTGAGCACTTTCCGAAACAGCCAAAGGATGATTTGTAGTCACTTTCATAGATATAATGAATATGGCTATATTTACAGTATTATATTACAATACCTAATATCTCAGCAGCTCAAAAAATCATATTCAATTGGTTTGATATCTATTCTGTGCATTATCGCTGCTAGAAATTATTTACTCATTTATTAATATTGTTTCCTGTATTCATAAATGCCGACTTGGGGAAATTTGGGCAGTTTTCTGCCATAGTCCTTTAAGTATATATTTTAGCTTGTCTTGTATTTTCAGGCTTAAAAAGTGTAATGTAAATGAAATGTAATGTATACGTATTGATATATTTGACTGTAAACTGTTACTATTTAGCTATTTTTATAGTTTAGTTTAAACATATTGTATTGTCATGCAAATGGTTTGGGCACAAGTTATTAAACTTATATTAAGCCCATTATTGTTATATATCTTTGTTGTACATCATGTAAGTAATGATTGTATCATGTGTATATGATAAACAATATGCAGCAGCCCTTTTGAGGGAATAAGTGTCTATTATTTAATTTTATCAATTTCATACCCCCCCCCCCCATTTTTTTTTATTAAAACATAAAAAATATATATCCAAAATTAATCTAACATATCACGTACACAGAAAAGCTACAAGTCAGACGGGCAACTTTCACACAGGTAAGTTACCTGTGGAGTAAGTATGAAACAGACTATAATTGGTTTGCCATTGTTTTCCTATATCAACACTTTGCTTTGTTCTATAAAAAGTGGGGGAACTGAGCACGAGAACACCCCAGGACATGAAGTAAACACTGATACTGTATGTACGATTGAAGATGGAGTATTATTTAAGGTAGGGTACACTTTATATCATAAATAGGACATGATGTACGATTGATTGGATACTCTTTGTATCATTTTTTTGGCAGTTATATTATTTATAGAAATGGTAATAATTTGAATTTGATTGAACAAAACTCTTTTTAGCTTTTTTACTTTCCTCTAGTGATAACTGTGTGATTGGTTATTCTAAAGTCTATTTTACAGTTAATCCAGTACATAGTCTGTGCCGATCATTATAATTTTACTTTCATCCATTTGATATCATATACACACCGCTATTCTCTACTAAAACCTGGCAATTCAATCAATGACCCCATTGTAAATAAGTTCGTTCTTAACTAACATTTATGGTTAATCGTAGGCGAAGACTTGTAATATAGACATTCTAAGGTACATATGTTATTGTATAATATGTTTTAAAAATGTGTTAGCAACAAACCATGATGGTATCTAATTACAGTGTTCAATTCATATAGATACATTTGTATGTTTATTTTAACTATGAACAGGTAGCTCACTTAAAATCCAGTCATGTAATTTTCAACCTGTGCTAACTGTTTTATAATATTAATATGGGACACTGTGTCTTTTACTTGAATAAAATAATTTGAACCATTAACAGCATTTATTTTGATTATTTAAAACATATTTGTATCCGGATGACAAAACAATGCATCACAGCTAATTCTGAAGTACTGTAGGTAGGGCCAATTCTGACGATGGGTACGAATGACATGCTTATTTAGCCCCTAGATCTTCCGATTTCCCAAGTTCAAATTATGAATTCAAACCATGCTGGTATACTTTGAACATATTTAAATTGGCGATCTCAAGTTTCAGTGATAAAATTTACACAATATCTACTAGTGCAATATTGAATATGTACGCCAATTTTTTCCATGAGCAACTATAGCTAAACCGGAACTACTTTAAGTACATGCTAAACAACAGAGGAAAATAGTTACTAATAAAGCTTTTGTTGTGGTCTTTCATTTCCAGATTATGTTCTTGTTCAAATGAAGCTGTGTTTTACTCGTTGAATAACTTAGGTTGAATTGCAGTCCAATTAAAGCAGAGTTTGCGGATCTTGCTTGTCAGAAGATACACTACTCAAACATATCTTCAGAAGGAAAAGAAAAACTAAAACTTGTACGATATGTATTGCTGATAGAAAAGAACTTTCAATTACTTTCATTAATAACACATTTGCCAACTCTCTTCGAAATGTAGACGATACACACTGTTGAACTAAAATAGACATATATATCTTTTATTCGATTGGTATCCATCCTTAATTGGAGATAACCTTAACACATTACACGATTTTGATTTGTATCCTGCACCAGCCGAGGTCCTATGAAAACGGATCATGACCTAGATACGGTAGGACGACAACAGGCTACCCACGCACTTAGAGGTGCCTGCATCCTCAATACTCCATGGGTTTCGCTATCTGCACCCATTGAATATGTCATAGTAAAATTGAAGACGCATCACCTTGTAGGTGAGATGGGAAGAATAGTTTGATCCTTTAATATGTAAACAGAAGAATCTCTCGGTCGCGTAACGGTAAAACTGACTGGTTGTGAAGTCGGGCGTCGCTCCTCTGTAATGTTCAAAGGGTATGATTAGTCAGGTTTTTTTACCCGAGACCAATCAAATAGCTGGCTGTGTAACCCCTGCAATATCGAGGATGAGGTGCATGTGGATACATTGAAAACAATAAATAGGTAGACAGAGAAGTTATCGAGGATGCATCTATCACAACATGATATAACCAGGTACATTTGGACAAGTTAACCAAAGAGATGAAACCCTCCAAAACTTTCTCATTGGTAAATTTTCCATCGATAAAAGTGACTTTTACCTTGGACTATGGAACACTGTGAACTGGTTCAGAGGTGTATAGCATTGGACCTTGTTTGATCAAAATCTAAAAGTGAGGACGGAGCTTTAAGATGATGACAAACATTGTTTATTAAAATGTGATGGAAGAGCAATGACAAACATTTTTTTTCAAAAATATAGTGACCTTCTGATAAGAAAATGCAAATATGGTGAAGATAATTCCCTGCTGACCACTTCTATCACGTTTCATCCAAATCGCATCACAGTAAAGAATGGTAGAGTAGTGACAAACATTTTCTATTTATAGTAAAAGGAAAATCGACCTATGTACCAAGATCTTTAAACACTAGCTTACTTTTGTGTTAAAATTTCATAAATCTTTTACTAAAAATTACAACAACAGAATGATGACATTTCTTATTGCCAGTGTCAGTGACCTCAAGTCATCCAGGTTTGATTGCTAAAGGAGAAGGTCAGAGTAATGACAAACATTTCTCTGTTGGTAGTAGCATATACTTTAACCGTTTATTCCCATTCCTCTGAAACCCAAACTTGTTTAAAGTATCATATAACTGAGCATTTGTATGGGGCTTAACAAAATAAAGAATAAGGTAGTAGAAATACAACTGAATGTATGACAGACATATGGATGAACATGGGTAAACCTATGCTCCCTCCTATCTATATGGTAGCAGCATGACAAACAAGGGAAGACACTTTCATGCATGTCGTCTTCAAATGACGTCATTGATCACATTAGTCCGTTTGACATCGTAATGGGCGTTGCTCATAGCACAGATATGAAATGTGTTAAATACCTTTATTAAACTCCATATATATGCTCCTAGGTGTGAGTACGTAATCCATGTTTGTGAGCAGATAATCATTTTAAGATCCTGTTCATAGAACGATTGCAGGTTACTTCTAAACCTGAGAGTAGACCACCAACCAGAATACCATTTTAAATAGGGTAAAATAAACTCTAAACTCATGTCTGATTGGGCGCAAGAAAAATAATCTTAAGAAATCATTAAAACAACAAAAATTGCTAAATTATTCATACATGTATTTAATTTACAAAATGTACACAAATAATGGCAAATAGAGGGTACAGATAAGAAAGGAGTAGAAGGTGTTTGTTAAAAGTTGTAATTGAGTCTTTATCAAAATAACATGGGCAGAGATGATCATGGTTTTCCAAAAATATCTTCTAGGTAATCAACCCATCCTTGTAAACTTCTGTTGTCAGATGGAGGCTGAAAAATTAATAATGCACATGTAAGTATGCAGTAAACAATTCATACGGTTATCTCCCTTTACGTCAAGCTACACCAAAATTATCCACATTTCCAATATGAGCTACAACTGGAGACGGAAAGAGAAAGTGAACAGCTTTCAAATTTAAAGCATATTAATTTTAATATGTCAATTCTCACAGGTTAAAAATAACAGAACATTTCAAAAAATGCAGTGATACAACAGGTTATAAGTTGATATCAGAGAAGAATTTCAGGTACTTTTTTCACGTTCATCCAGAAAGTTAAGAGTGTTTGTTTCCCAGGAAAGAATTCACAAAAAAAACCCATAGACAAGCCCTAATTCTTGTCATTTTACTTCTGTAGAATTTAGCTTTTGATTTAACTGGATGCAGTGTAAAAATACAAAGTTTCTAGGCCTATCAATATTCATTAACATTGAACAAATTTGTAGGATGATTCAGTTACCAAGATATCTTCTTCCTTCACATTGGATGGCAGATTGGAGGTCTTTTGTAGGGTTATCTCCCCTGAGAACGGGTAGGATTCGGGTACGTGAAGTGTACACATGATAGAACCACCTTTGCCCACCAGTATACGTAGGAGGTTCTTATCCTGTATCCAGTCTATAGCATGTCTGATTGATAGAAAAATATACACCAAGTAAGTCATCTGTTGTTTACTGTGTTAAATAAAAACGTGTAATTAATAAATTCCGGCTAATAGAAGATGTGCATAAAAAGTGTATAGAGTTTTAATGAACAAAAAATTCCCAACACATAGGTATTCTTAGTATATATTTTTACACATTACAAGCAGTTGACTATATAGTTGACAAAGAGTCTTTAAGTAAACTGTCTCTATACATGATTCTTCTAATTTCTAATTGGACATCTTTTGCATAAGATTTTTATGACAATATCTACGTATGCAAAAGTATGGAGGATTACAACATTTCAAATAGCGATGATCAGTTCTAGATTTTAAGATCATTTGAAGGAGTTATCAAGTTATCAGGCTAATTGTTTGTATCACATATGATAAATATGATCTTAAAAGGGTTTCAAGGTAATTGAACAAATCTGATTATATTACACGGAAGGAAGCTTGAAAACAAATGGCATGACTCTTAGTTATTTGAATTTTTGAACACTTAAATCCTGTGACCTTGATAAAGGATCAAAGTAATATATTTGAAAAAAACAACAACAAAATTTTACCTTAGCTCTATAGAGATTGCATGGTTTTACAGAAGATGGAAATAATCATTTGATTTTTTTTTTTTTTTACAAATTTGACCCATGTGACCTTATACGATGAGCAATGTGGTTTAGGTGGTGTTGTGCCCTCCACAGTAGCAAGCTACAGGACGACAGGAGATAAAATATATAAAAGAGTTAAAACATTCATGATAAAATATTTACCTGTCTGAAACATTCTTCATCTCCTGGACCAGTGGGAACAGAGTATTCCAGCGGTCCTGCATCTTGGTGACGAGTTGTCGCAGGTCGTTACTAGACAGACCCTCTGATATGATGTCCTCAGTGTGGAGGCTGCAGTCACCTGACTGTGGAAATAATCATGTATAAATATTGCAATGATATAAACACTCACCCTTTACTTTGTCAGATCAAATTTGCTTATACTTTGCCCATTTCTGGGGAAAACACATAAATATATATCTAACAAGATCTTATTTAACATTCAGCCTTCAATTAATGGTGACCAAGATATGTTGTCTAACAAAAGTAAAACAATGTATACACAACAGGTATTTTAATATTCTCATCATCTTGAATACCCTACAGCTGCCTGCTATGAGTGTCATTGTTACATCTATGTACCTCTTTCTCGGCACTGGTTAGGTGTTCTAAGTCCAGACTGTCTAGCTCTACATTGGCAGTAAGGAACATTCTGGGGATATTCTCATTGTCCTCGTCACTCAGTAGTTCCAGCACCAAGTGTCCAAATTCTGATCTTTGCTTTATATCGACTTTACCCTGCCGTTTGATGAATGACAGCAAATCTTTTTGTCTAAAATGAAATTTTAATTTTCATATTAAAAGGTCCAACTGCTGTAGGAATGGTGGAAATCCCGAATAAATCACAAGTGCACAACTATCAGTATGTAGGGTACTGATGATGTAAATGCAAAAATCAAGTGGAGTACTGCAGACAAAATTTATACAGGGAGGCATGACTCCCATGAAAATCACCAGATCCCAATGTTAATCACAGGTGCAAAGTATGTTGCGTGCATCAGTGAAATTTATTGATATTTAGCTGAAAACTGTAGAAGTTGTGTGAACAAGATTGTGTCTACAGACGGACAGTCCACCTGGTTTCAGTACAACCCGCTCCCCTCTCCCAATCTTTTTTGCAGTGAGAGTATATAATTACAGTAACAAAAACTTTACAAATAGCACATCCACTATTAAATCTAAATACTCTGATTCGTTCTAAAAGCTCAAAGTTAGACATATAATTTGTGTAAAATGTAAACCAATGAACTGAACTGATTTCTCGTCATCCACAATGTTACCATTGGTAAACAAAGTCTTCTCCAGTCACTGACCTGTTGAGTTTGTCCTCCATGACCTTGACCTGTGACTGTTCACTGTGGCTATCTAGGAGCTGTTGCTGCTGCTGGGCCTCCCATGTGACACGGAGTCTGCGACACGTTTCCTCCAGACCCCTTTTCTCCTCCTCAATCCTGCCGATGGATGCCTGACACAGTTCTATGGCTGACACCAACTTGGTAAACTTCTCCTCCTGTCACACCACACAACACATTATTAATATATGTGTGAAGAGATCAGGCAACACTTTTCTTTTTCTTTCGAATACTTTTTCATAAGCATTGCCAATATATATGTTTTCACTAAGTTCAGTTGAACTACCTAGTATATCAGCATATTTTTCAGGTTTGAAATGATTGAAAGAACACAAATGATTTCTTAGTGAGATGTATTCAATCATTTGATTTTTTACTTGATATTCTGTTGAACAAGATATATAGGATCCAGTTCATTGTACCTGTTGCTTCTTGTGGATATAGAACTCTGCAGGACGAGTGATTCCCTCATCCAAATTAGCCAGCACTTCTTTTTGTTTAGCTTTTAAGATTTCAAGTTTTGTTTTCTGCAAGAAAATGTTAAATATTTTAGATGTACTTGGAATACTAAAATTTCAAACAAGGCAATATATTACATATTGGAAGAGTTCCTTTAATTTTGTAATTTGTTCTTTAGATCTTTATTTATCAACAGCAGAAGTATTCCATATTTACCATAGGCTATCACTTACCACATTTAAAACAATGTATGGCCAAAAAAAGATATGTACGTTTCAGGTACCCTGGCTGACACTAGTTTTACCCCCATGACTATAAATTTTATCACTCAGCAGCGTAAGATATTTCTATACAGTATTTACACCGACATTCCTTTTGGGAGTAGAGCAATTAAACCAAAACTTATTTCTAATACATTGGCCATATTGTTAACTGCCCAATGATCTGTACACTTGTCGCCTGCCATCTGGTTTGTCCCTGCAGGGGCATTGTGCGTGTACTTCATGGGTTTTGATTTTACGTAATATCTATAAAATTGTACCTTTCCTTTGATGGCCTGTATTTTTTCACCTATTAGCTGTATGTTCTTTTGTAGAGCTTCATACTCTGAAAGAAAAATCACCCATTTTTGTAATATTACTTTGACATCAATTTTAATTCAATCATCTTAGCTCTTTTGAAATACAATATTTAAGTGCACAAAAGAGAGAACTTCTCCTGAAATTTGCAATATGATAATTCTATTATACATCAGTGCACATTTGGGGAACTCTATTTTTCACTGGAAAGGTTAAATTCTTTCAACAAATCTGTTTTGAATAATTCCTAGTCTAAAGAGCCAAATGACACCAGTATAACCTCACTACATAATATCTTTACCACAGTACACATATATATATGCTACATTACATTATAGTGAAGTACACTACATTAGACTACACATAGTGTGCATTGCACTTCACTATTCCTACACTAAAGTTCAGCTGCACTACATGTACACTATAATAGCTAGACTACCAGTAACGTTTGAAACATAAGACATTTGAGTCCTGTGCTCATGCTTTTTTCAATTGTGGGACTCACCAACATTTTGAGACCCCATTATACATTTTAGCAATAGGACTTATCAAAAGTAAGAAAAAAGACATGTTCACAACGCTAATATACACTTCTTACGCACTGCACCTACATAACACCTATATGCTACATTACACATGTGTTCCAAACTGTCACTCACCTTCCACTGTTTTTTCTATAAGTTTTTCTATGTTTTCCTTCTCCACATCCACAAGTTTTTGTTCTGCTACAAGATTTTCAGATGATTCTTTCAAAGCCAGATCTGCATTAGAAATATTGACAGTGGAGCATGTACACAAAGCTGATAACAGTCATACTTTTGTTTCTGTATTTATCTTTAAAGCAGTGAAGATTTCCTGTGATATTCCTGTACATCATGTATTACATTAAGCCAAATTTCATACAGGATAAAGTAACAACTCCTGCTTTGATGGAAATGGATCTAAACTCACTCAAAACCAGTGAAGCAGAAAATAAAACAAAAGTACATGTCATAGTGACCTATATATGATATATTGGTGTGGTACTCTTCAAGGAGTATTAACATGGGTAGTTTGACGATTGTTGGACTTTTACTATTCGAGTAATACTAGAACACTGACAGGTTAGTAAGGGCCCCGTCTTGTGGCAATATATCCATCATAATCATCAAGAAGCAATCTGCCCATATAGCTGAGCTTGACGTCTGATATTTGGACTTCAAAAAGAATCGCAAGGAAGCAAAATATACATTTAACATGTACTATGATGTGAGTCTTGTTTCCCTCCACCTCCATATTTGCTAGGCTAACAGAAATGTAAATACCGGTGCAATACTCATTTTGTTAGCTTTGATATGTTTAATTTTTCATTTAAATACCTCCTCCATCAAGAGCCAGGGTCTAAGTCAGAGATCCACTTTGTCTTTGGGACCCAAATGACCTTGACCTTTAACCCAGTGACCCTGATCTTAGGTCAGTTGAATTATTCTTTGATTCCGACCATTTTTGCTCCATAATATCATAACAAAATGTTCATCAGTGAAAAATACAAAAATTGACCTTGACCTTGAACCTTTGGACCCCGTAACCTTGACCTTAGGTCATTTGATTCGGTGTTAAGTTCTGAACAACTTTGCTTCATAATAACATAAAAATGATGTTCATCAGTAAAAAGATACAATATTTGACCTTGACATTGACCCAGTGACCTTTCGTCAGTTGACTCCTTGTTTAATTCTGACCAACATTGCTTCATAGTGTCATAACAAAATGTTCATCAGTGAAATGATACTAAATTTGACCTTGACCTTTGATCTAGTGACCTTGACCATAAGTCAGTTGACTCTTTGTGGAATTCCGACCAATTTTGCTTCATAATGTCATAACAAAACGTTCATCAGGAAATAGATACAAAATTTGACCTTGACCTTTGACCTTTGACCCTGACCTTAGATCAATTGACTCTTTGTTTAATTCTGAGCAACATTGCTTCAAAGCATCATAACGAAATATTCACCAGTGGAAAGATACAAAATTTAACCTTTGCCCGTTGATCCAATGACCTTGACCTTTGTTCAGTTGACTCCTTATTTAATTCTGACCAACATTGCTTCAGTGTCATAACAAAATGTTCATCAGTGAAAAAATGCAAAAATAGACCTTGACCTTTGAACCTAATGACCTTGACCTTTGACCTCGATTTTTTACCTCAGTGTGTCTCTTTGTTTAATTTCGACCACCTTTGCTTCATAATGTCATAAAATGCTCATTAGTGAAAAGCTACAAAATTTGACCTTGACCTTTTACCTAGACCTCTAACCCGATGACCTTGACCTTCGGTCAATTGACTCCTTGTTTAATTCTGATCAACTTTGCTTCATCATGTCATAACAAAATGCTCATCAGTGAAAAGATGCAAAATTTGACCTTGACCTTTAAACCTTATGATCTTTGACCTTGACTTCTTACCTGAGTGTGTATTTTTGTAAACTGAACATCTTGACCAAGTTTCATGTAAATCGGTCAATTAATACCAAAGTTATTAGCCAGGAACAAAATTTGTGGACGGACAGACAGTGATTATTATAGGGCACCCGTATCTCTGATACGGGGCCCTAATAATGAAACTTTTAGTTAATGCAAAGTTCAACCAGTTTTGCTGTACCAGTTTAACAACGGACTGAAAATACTCTTCCATGTTTATACCTGGACATTCTCTTTTTTTTTAGTTAAACATGTAAAATACCTGCATCTGCCTTTGTTGTCCATGTTTCTGGATCCTGGCCCATGAACTTGTAAAAACTCAGCCGACTTTCCATATTGGGTACATAAACTTTGCTGTGTGCCTTTTGCTAAGAAATATTACAACGAAATAAAGGGTTTCACACACATTTTTACTTTTAATGTGTCTGATCATGAGTACAAAACAATTTGCTATTTTGATCTTCCTGTAACTGTATATTATAGACTAGTTATATCTATATGATTTGGTTTGTTTGTGCTTTACGTCCTGGTTACCATATATACAGTATATGAGTTCATCATCCTAAACAGTACCAGAAAACTAAAATGTACGAGTAATACATGAACACATGCGCAAATTTACAAATATTGATAATTAACTTCCTTAGTTATGATTATGGACAGCCATCCATTGGTAAACAATTAAAGTATCATAGGTTATCCTTTATTCTGATTACTGATCTATTCGCAATATCAATGAATGCCACACCACTAATAAAAGTATAAAAGTGCATATTATACATTATATATGTATATATGTGATCCTTCAAGATATAAAAGAAGTAAAGATCAACTGAAATTACGGTCATGATATATGTTGAAAGGTGTCGCATCCTTTATACAGAACAATTTATATGTTTATGATTAAGTTAAAATTGATCATGAAGATACCTTTTGAAATTCTGACATATCCATCAAGAAGTCTGTACAGACATATTCCTCTTTCATAGGAAGGAATTCTTTGCTCTCAATCTCTTGATATCTGTGAACAGAACAGGTCAGAAATATTTCAATTGCACTATTACATTTGTAACAGGGATGATTCAGAGTTATTTCCATTGTTCCTTGCAAATGATGTGTATCATGATCATTTTGTAATTAGTGTGATGAAACATAATTATATATAGATTAGGTGTTTTATAGAATATTATTTGTGCAATTAAATAAATGTAAAGAATACTGTAATGTAATAGAGAATTAAGTATAAGATAATTAAATAGATCACTACTTATTATTGTACATTATGCAACGTTTGTAAATTGTACAAAGTTCTAGCTTTGACCCTGAATAAGGAAAGCATTAAGTTGTTTATTACTCGTTCCTGTTAGGTCTACAGTTGACTGTAACATAATAGGGGTCTTCTGCTAATAAAGGAGGAGTTGACTGTTTTAATTACACTGGGTGTTCTTGTGGTATTTTAAGAGTTGCGATAAGAGTAGTGTATTAAACAGAGGAATCTGATCATGAGGCCAACCAAATTGAACCTGGGTTGACAGTTGGACCTGGAAAGTGGCAGAGTCCAGTCATGTTACACATTTTTGGTTACCTCTGTAAACAATTTAGATGCGTAATTAAACAAATCATACAAGGAATTGATCTATAACTAGGAAAGGTAAAACAATTTCATTTAAAAACAAAAAAAACAAATACAAAGTGTAATATTTGTTTAATGTTTAACAGCAATGATATACATGTTTTAAACATGTATATCATTGCTGTCCATCAATCCTCAAGTGAGAGGATGCTCTAACCTCTATGTTTGTGCACTTTTTTTTGCCAATTTTACAAAGCATACCATGCACTGATACTTCTTTTTTATTGAATAGAATTGTTATTCATTGACCTCTTCTTGTCAAGCACAGATCTATATGACCAATTTAGTGGCAATTGCAAAAAAACCAACCAGGTTACATTACGTGTTTTCATTCAACATAGCCCGACTTTCCTTTGGCCCTGACATCGGATTAAGACATTTTGACAGATAGATTATATACGTGTATTAGATATCTGGCCTGGTACACCAGACATACAGTGTATGTCTGTCAAATGGCTTAGTCTGCAGGGGACAGAAAAAAACTCTAGACTACATTCTGGATTGGTTCTGTAAAGAAGGGACATTATTTGTTGTAAACAGAGATATTCATTCGAACAACGAAAAGTCTCGTATTACAATCTCTCAAGAGGTCTGCCCACAATGCTGCATTTAACGTTTTTGATTATATCGCCACAACCAAGACGTCGATACATGCAGAATGGTGTACATAATTCAAACAAGCATTACATACAACATTGATCTCTATATTTCTTTGCATACATACTGCGACAGATAAGCGTCAAGATCCATGTTTTATGTCAAATGTGGCCCTCTTGGTTCATAAAAACCGCCTTCCTATCCAACGGATCCGGAAGTAAACGAAAACATCTTTCAGTACAATACAGTCGATAAATATATTTAGATATTTTGATAGAATATATAACATATGACATAATTTTGAAAATAGGACCAAATTAATAAAGCAAATGTTTTATTTTAGTTTATGAAATTAAGTTTGAGTTCATTAGAGGTAGACAAGCAGATTAGATTTTATCGTTTTATCGACTATAAGTTTCTAAACTTCCGGTCAAAACAAAAGTAAACGTTATGTTGATGAAATGACATGTGTTTGGTAACGGTAGGTTTTGTTTTCTAAGGATGGAAGGTGAACGCGTAAAGAAGCACAGTGGGAAGAAAAAGAAGCATAGAACATCTTACTCTGATGATAATCGTAGTAGTGACGGCGAGAGACACTACAAACACGTGCACAAAAAAGACAAGAAACGTAAGCACCGTCACAGCGATCATACTAGTATTCAGCAGTGTAAGCAAAATGATTCTGAAAGTGATAGTGACAGGGATGGTTATAGAAAGTCGATCTCCAGAAAGTCACATCGATCGAGGGATGTTGGAGAAAGACATAAACATAAAAAGTATACAGCAACAAGTCTTGATGCTAAAGAAAAGGAAATCCACAGATCTGACAGGGATCCTCAGAGGGAGAGTGGTCATAGTAAAAAAAATACAAAGAGAACACACTCACCTTCAACTTCTGAGGGTTACCACAGAAATGTCACTTCAGGAAACAGACAGGAGCCTGAGGACGTTAATTCTTCCAGGGGATATAGCAGTAGAAGGCGATCACGTTCCTCTTCAGATTCCGAACAACGTCATTCATCACAACAAGATACAGCTGGAAAGAGTAGCAGTGAAAGTGATGGTCCAAAGGAACCGTTTGATTTTAGAAAACATAGATATTCTCTTAACAAAATCTTTTTCAATGAAGATGATTTTATCAAAAGGTATGTATTTTATAACTAAATAGTCAATTAATAATGTTTACAGACTTGTATTATACAAAAATAAGTATGTTGATTGTGATATTTTGTCTTAATTATATATTTATATATATGCAAAAGTTGTACATCAGGGACATATTTTTTTCTAATAATACTGTAACTATATTTAACATCAATTAAGTGCATTATAAACAAGAAGCAATGAAACACAGCCACCAAGATAACCAGACAAACACGTAGACAGTGTTTTAAGTGTAGGGGTGCCACTTTGTCTCCAGTAAAATACGGCCAAAGCTCTGTATAGCTTTGTTATTATAATGAATTACACCACCAGTACTACGGAAAAATGATCCCTTTGTGGAGGAATCTCGCAGGAAACACCTTGTAATCAGAGGTATAACAACTTTCCTTACCTAATATCAGACCCCTATTTGTCCATGATTATATGAGTGGTATATATGAAGCTCAATCTGATTAAAACCAGATCTTTATTTCCACTTAGATCATCGTTTATCTAAGTGGAATTAAAGATATGTTTTTAATCACATTGAATGCAGCTTGCACATAGTTTTGACTCATCAACTACATGTTTTGTAATAGCAACCATGGCTATAACTTCGCACATTTACAATGCAATCAACATTTATCGAATAATCAATGCAGTATTCTATTTCAAGAAGATATGCTTATAATTACTACATACAAGATCCAAAATCACAGCATTCTACACAATCTTGTGCTGCCCATGTAACATCAGTAATAAACACAAAACAAATGTATTTTAATAGAATGTCAACAGCCTGTATGGAACAGTACTAATTTATAAAATATATAGGTATTTTCCAGTTTTGGCATTGCAGTGCTGCATAATTAACCTTATGAATTTCCTTTTGCCTCTTGACTGGCTGCAGCCTGATAACAGTTTTGAATAGGAGATTAAATAAATGATACCAAACCTGTAACACTATTAATTAAGAACATACATGTATGTATTCAAAAAATAGTCTTTATTAAAATGGTAGTTAATTAAGAAATTTTAGTTTACTACAGTGCTTGCTGTTTAATTTTAGTTTACTACAGTGCTTGCTGAAACAGCTGATTCATTCAAGTCAAATGTTCTGATTTTACAAGGCAGTGTAAATTAGGTGATATTCTTCAAATTAAGAATGCTTGTATCTCTGTCTGTATATATATAATATAAAGAATTTTTATTGCCTTGCTTTCCTTAAGCATTAAACAGATAAAATGGTTCCATTCATGACAGCAAATATTCTGAACAAAATACAGGTTTTATGATCATTGTCTGATATAGTTATATATGAAAAGTTGGTAATTACAATTTTAACTCTTTTGTTTGTCTTTACTTTTTAGGGAAACAAAGCAATACGATGATTTTTGGACCTTCCTTGAAAAGTACCAAGCATTTCAACAGAAAAAAGGCCATCGGGGTACATAACTATTGATAACATTTATTTTCACATATTTTCAAGAGAACACAAAGCTGCTGTAAAGTTCCCAACTCTTTACCATGAAAACTGTATTTACCTTGCATCTTCAATAAGATTTTTATAGTGTTATAAAACGACGGATAGACCCTTGTATCCATATATGACCAAACAACAGATGAAGGTATTAAACGTTCAAGAAAATGCATTGCTCATATGTTTACAATGGCTTTTGTATCATACACTGTTATTTTAGAAAAAGAGGAGAGGAAAGAACCCATAAAGGAGGGAAAGCTTGGTCTCCCCAGAAACTATGACAAAAGATACAGGATAAATGTTGCACTGACGAGTAAAGTTGTGGAAGATTTTCTCAAAAAGGGACGACTAGTTGGTATGAATATAATAATCCAGTTAAATATTTGATTGTTAAAAAGTGTTTCTCGGATACGATAAAGCTTTTTATTTTTGTAAAATGTTACTTTTTTGTAAAAAAAAAATTATACACAATTCCTGGATACAGCAGTTGTATTTTATCTGCCAGAAATAAAATATGCATAAATAATATAGAAGAAATGTGTGTGTTTTAACCTGTATATGTGGTTGGATGTTATGTGTCCTGATGAATATTTATTTTGATAGAAAAAGTGTAGACTGTGAAAAAAAAGAAATGAGATGAAATATGTCAAAAGTCCTGTTAAACGATAAGTTTGATTTGATGGAATTCATATAGATTGATTTTTGATGTTTACATTCTATAGATGCGGACATAGCTAGGGAACTGACTGTCAAAAGAGTTAGTGAATTCAGGAGCATTCTGCTACACTACATTGATTTTATACAGAAACAGAAGGTATGGATTATCCTTGTTACAGTTTTGATACTCCTTTTTCGCAAAACACATGTTCTGATACAATTAATTAAAAACAAAATTTACTATAAGAATACATTGCATCATTTAAGTATTGTTGTAAATCCGGAAACCTGTCAGGAATCTATGTAAAGTGTTTTTAGCTCACCTGGTCCGAAGGACCATGGTGAGCTTATGCCATACCGCAGCGTCCGTCGTCTGACTTTTGTGTCAGTTCGTCAACTCTTCCTTTAAAATGCTACTAGTCCTGAACAGCCCAGTAGATTTTGACTAAGTTTGGTCTGGAATATCCTTAGGCCAAGGGGACTCAATTAAAGGGTGGTTGTGTCCCTCCCCCCCCCCCCCCCCCCCCCCCCTTGGTCGCAGAGATGCAGGGCCAAATTGGGGAAATAGAGTTAAAACCTTTAAAATCCTTCTTCTACTGTAGGGATTAAGGGAATTTATCCTAATTTAGTCAGGAGCATCCTTGGGCCCAGGGGTAATCGGTGGGTCTGACCCCCTAGGGGCAGAGGAGTGGGGCCCAAAAGGGGAAGCATAGAAAATTCCTCCAAGTACTCTTTTCTTCTATTGGAATGACAAGATTTTGTCCAAATTTGGTATGAAGGTCGACCCTTGTGTGAAGGGGAACCAATTTTGTATAATCGGTGGGTCTGAACCCTCTTGGGGCAGAGAGGCGGGGCCAAATAAGGGATATAGAGGAATAGCTTTATATCCTTATTCTTCTGTTGGGATGAAGGTATTTTGACCTGAACAGTAGCATCCTATGGAGAAGAAAAATCAATTTTGTATAAATGGTGGGTCTGAACCCCCTAGGGGCAGAGAGGCAGGACCAAATAGGGAAAATAGAATAAAAGCTGTAAAAATCCTTCTTTTTCTGTAGAAATGACAGGACTTTGTTCATATTTGATCTAAAGCCTTCTTTGGTGAAGGGGACTTAATTTTGTATAAATGGTGGGTCTGAACCCCCTAGGGGCAGAGCCAAATAGAGAAAATAGAATAATAGCTGTAAAAATCCTTCTTTTTTCTGTAGAAATGACAGGATTTTGTCCATATTTGATCTAAAGCCTTCTTTGGTGAAGGGGACTTAATTTTGTATAAACGGTGGGTCTGACCCCCCTAGGGGCGGGGCCCAATATGGGAAACATAGCAAATTCTTCAAAATTCTCCTTTTTCTGTTGGAATGACAGGATTTTGTCCAGTTGCATATAAAAATAACCCCTGACTAACCATGTACATGTAATACATGTACACTACTAGCAACATCTGGCTATTTCAACTTCAATTTTGCTATTCATGTGTCCAGGTAAGCGATACAAGCCCTCTTGGCCTCTTGTTTAAAGAACCACTTTGTAAAGTACAGGTTAGATTATCTCTTAATAAAATTCAATGGTTAATGAGTTGTTGTATTTTTTCTGTTGTATGACCAATCATCAATGCAAATGTTAATTTAAAAAAAATGAATATATGATAGTTAGCCATTATTTCTCTAAAAAAAATCTCTAAAATAATTACATTTGTTATACCATTTTTACAGAAGAAACATACTATTTTAATGGTTAAAATTTTGATTTTGTCAGTATATGTTTAAGATCTTTCTAGGCCATAAACTGATGCAGCCTTGTATCTTTATACATCTGCAATTTAAGAAACCCAAGTAACAACATTTACTGGGTGTCATTAAGTTGGTAACAAGTAATATGGTTTCCTGTATGATTGTGAATACTATATTGTGAATCCTGTAGAATTATGACAGTGCCACACTGTCAAAGAGTTAATATGATTATTACTTTGTAGTTTAATAAGCTGAAGAAGATCAAGAAAGACCAGGAGAATTTGCCGATATTTCAGTACAGACAAAGAATCCTAGATATGGTCAACCAACACCAAGTCATTGTAGTGGCAGGAGACACTGGTTGTGGCAAGTCTACCCAGGTAAGGAGTGTGGCAAGGCTACCCAGGTAAGGAGTGTGGTAAGTCTACCCAGGTAAGGAGTGTGGCAAGTCTACCCAGGTAAGGAGTGTGGCAAGTCTACCCAGGTAAGGAGTGTGGCAAGTCTACCCAGGTAAGGAGTGTGGCAAGTCTACCCAGGTAAGAAGTGTGGCAAGTCTACCGAGGTAAGGAGTGTGGCAAGTCTACCCAGGTAAGGAGTGTGGCAAGTCTACCCAGGTAAAGAGTGTGGCAAGTCTGCCCAGGTAAGGAGTGTGGCAAGTCTCACAAGGTAAGGAGTGTGGCAAGTCTACCCAGGAAAGAAAAGTGGCAAGTCTACACAGGTAATGGGTGTGGCAAGTCTCACAAGGTAAGGAGTGTTGCAAGTCTACCCAGGTAAGGAGTGTGGCAAGTCTACCCAGGGAAGGAGTGTGGCAAGTCTACCCAGGAAAGAAAAGTGGCAAGTCTACACAGGTAATGGGTGTGGCAAGTCTACACAAGTAAGGAGTGTGGCAAGTCTACCCAGGTAAGGAGGGTGGCAAGACTACCCAGGAAAGAAAAGTGGCAAGTCTACACAGGTAATGGTAGTGGCAAGTCTATACAGGTAAAGAGTATGGCAAGTCTACACAGGTAAGGAGTGTGGCAAGTCTACCCAGGTAAGGGGTGTGGCAAGTCTACACAGGTAATGGTTGTGGCAAGTCTATCCAGGTAAAGAGTATGGCAAGTCTACACAGGTAAGGAGTGTGGCAAGTCTACACAGGTAATGGGTGTGGCAAGTCTACCCAGGTAAGGAGTGTGGCAAGTCTACCCAGGAAAGAAAAGTGGCAAGTCTACACAGGTAATGGTTGTGGCAAGTCTATACAGGTAAAGAGTATGGCAAGTCTACACAGGTAAGGAGTGTGGCAAGTCTACACAGGTAATGGGTGTGGCAAGTCTACACAAGTAAGGAGTGTGGCAAGTCTACACAGGTAAGGAGATTGGCAAGTCTACACAGGTAATGGGTGTGGCAAGTCTACCCAGGTAAGGAGTGTGGCGAGTTCACACAGGTAATGGGTGTGGCAAGTCTACACAGGTAAGGAGTGTTGCAAGTCTACACAGGTAAGGAGTGTGTCAAGTCCACACAGGTAATGGGTGTGGCAAGTCTACACAGGTAAGGAGTGTGGCAAGTCCACACAGGTAATGAGCATGGCAAGTCTACATAGGTAATGAGCATGGCAAGTCTACACAGGTAAGGGGTATGGCAAGTCTATAGAGGTATATGTTGTGTTGGTATTTTGTTATCTTTTTGAGGTGTCATCAAGGACCCTGAATAAAATATTTCATGATGTTTTAAGTCCTTAGGAGGTGATTATAACAGTGCCTTAGGGAAAAACTGTTTCAGTTTTTTGAATCCCATCATTTTTCTGGACAACACAATCATTTATCACAAATGAATAAAAATTAGGATTATATGGTTACCTGTCTTAAGTGCCCATTTTTCTTCATTTCCTGGGACTGTCGTAGTTTTGGCTGTAAACACATTGATGTCTGGGAAAGGTTTGATATAATTTGATGTTTTTCTACCATTGACCATGTATTCTGTTGTAGGTGCCCCAGTACCTAATGGCTGGAGGCTTCACCAACATAGCATGTACACAACCAAGAAGGATAGCCTGCATTTCCCTCTCAAAACGAGTAGGCTATGAAACCCTCAACGAGTACGGCTCCGAGGTGGCTTACCAGGTATGTACCCTGTATGGTTCTAACATGTCTTAACTGTTCACAAAGAGTACATCATGAGTGAGATGTCTTATGAGGCAAGTAAAGAGCTCTCGAAAGTAGGTTACCAGGTGGGTAATGTGCATCCCTGCATTGGCTTATATAATTACATGGGAGGTAGCCCAAAAGCCTGATGTGTCTAACCAGATATGCAACAAGAATAGCAGCAGTGTCTTAGCTGGTTCCAATTTGCAAAACCTCTTTACTTTAACAATTTTATATAAAACAAGATGCCCAAGGGCCTTAGCGGTCACCTGAGTTATATGATAGGTACTGGTAGCTCAATTTCATTGTTGAAATGTGATGTGGAAATCAACATGTAAACTAAGTGAAACTAAAGGTTAAGAATTTTAAAATATTGGTAAATTTTCCCTTTGAGGCCCCACCCTAGCCTCTTGGGTTAGGCCAGGAACCCAAATTTACAATGTAATACATTCATCCACAAAAGATAATTCTGACCAAGTTTGGAAAATTTCAACAATTTCCTGCTGAAAATGGATAAAATATACCCAAAAGTGTTATTTCCCTATATAAACTATAATCAACTCTACCCCCCCCCCCTCCCTAGGGAGAACAAATAGTACCAAATAGGTACTGATATTCAAAATTTAAATAAAGCCCCTGATGATCTTTCCATCCATGCAGAGAAATTGACTGTAGTACCTCTGAGTTTGGAGAAGATTTTTGAAATATTGGTTAATTTTCCCTTTGGGGCCCCGTTCTGGCCTCAGGGGTTGGTGTAGGAATCCCAATTTTACCGTTTTGTAGCCTCATCTACCAAGGATGATTCTTACCAAGTTTGAAAAAATTCCATCCACATGGTCCTTGAGAATAAGATGAAAATGTAAAAGGTTTATGCACGACGGACGGAAAACGACCAGAATAGGTCACTTGAGCAAAGTGACCTAAAAACCCAACATATTTCTTGTAAAGGCTATTTTTCCCTCAAACATAAATTGAAACTATAAAATTTGAATATTAAAGAATTAAGAAAGGTCTTAGAGATGAGAAATTTTATGAAACTGGGACCAGGAAGCTTACAAGTTTAGTTCAGGATATCCTTCCTGTTAGATAACAGGTATGGCTCTGGAATAAGCCAGGAATGTGGTTCTGAGATTGAAATTACATGTGACCACTCTGGGTTTAACAGATGTTTACAGATAGAAAACACGTTCCAAATATTCATTGTTTGCTTCTTGGGGAAAGGATGCACTCAAACTTTGAAACTTTCCGTTTTTCACAGGTCCGATTTGAAAAGACAAAGACAAGATTTACAAGGATTCTGTTCCTCACAGAAGGTAAATAATAAGATTGCATTCCTTTTACACTTTAATAGTCCTATTTAACTTTTACCGCCGAGACCGATAACTTTTGCTCTTGCTGTGTATATGTAAGTCTATTACAGGGTTAAATGTTGTAAAAAAAGAATTGGCCTCCTTTATTTTCGCGGCTTTGCTGAAGTGGTTTATTTCCAGGAATCCATTTTTTCGCAGATTTCAGGCCTGGTGGGCGTGGCAAATTATAAGGGTTGTGGTGAGGATGAATTAAGGTCCTTCAAATGTTGTATTTTTCTGCTTACCATAGAAGTAACCAAAATATTAAAACTCCTTGAAATAAGTTTCTGACATTTACTGTCTATGGAAGTTTTAACATCTGACCCCTACTGTCTATTACTGTATCATATTACCACTGACCTTTGCTGTCTACATAAGCCTATGGCTGAATTAAATGACCTTGACATTTACTGTCTTTGTAAATCCTTTACTGAATAAGATGTCCTTTGACCTTTGCTTTCTATATGTACTGAATCAGATGACTGCTGACCTTTACTGTCTTTGTAAGTCTATTACTGAATTAGATAACCTTTGACCTTTGCTGTCTCTATAGGCCTGTTACTGAGACAGATGACCTCTGACCCCCACCTGAAGCAGTACAGTGTGATAGTAATAGATGAGGTCCATGAGCGTCACATACATACTGACTTCCTCCTTGGCATCCTCAAGTGTATGTTACGTCACCGTGACGACATCAAACTTATCCTGATGTCAGCCACAATCAACATTCACCTCTTCAGCGGATACTTTGATGATGCTCCAGTAGTTAAGGTATTGGGACTTTATTTTTTTGCTGATTGGTTTTCCTGTTCATTCATCTGCAAAGCAAGCAGATGAATTGTTTTTTAAGTCTTATTGTCTTCAGTTTTATATTCCTACAAAAATATTTAGATGTACAATGAATATATGTATTTATAAGGAAAAAAATATATTCTCAGGAATATTTTCTGAAAAGAAAAAAGTACAATGTCTCGAGTCATCTAATGAAATATAAAAATAAAGGTCTCTAATTAAAATAGTACACTGTATTCCTGTATTTTACAAAATTGTCCGGCTACTCAGTAATTCTCTCAATACAGGTACCTGGGAGATTGTATCCTATACAACTAGAGTACTGCCCTATCAGGCGAGACGAGGTGAACTCTCGTGCGGAGAGGCTGGATCCCAGTCCATACCTACGTGTAATGCAGAAGATAGACCACAAGGTGATTATGAATTCACAAGGATTGTTGTACACAGAACATGGATATGTTTCATGAATATGATTAATTTCTACACAATTTTGCTACATGCTTGTACATACATATGGACTTTTTACCATTTCGTGGTACAAACTTTCGTGGATATCCAATATTAACCAACAGTAGGCACATATATCATTCAAATTCAGTGTATTTATTTTCGAGGTTCAATAGCAACCACGAAAACCACTAATGTTGTACAGTGTCTCTAAAATATTGAATCATTAAGAAAAAAACAATTAACTGTAATATTTTTTTTCATGTTATACAGTGCTAACACATACAAATTAATAAGCTAAACTACCAGTATTCTCATTTTCGATATCACTCTGGTGCTCTATTTAACATATCTACAGGTACTTACTTTTCGCTGTTTCACTTTTTCAAACCATGTTGTTGACACAAAAAGTCATGTTTGGCCAGCAAGCAATGAACTTAATTCTTATAAAAATATACACAGTACACTTTATCACTGTAACAGTTTTAATTAATTTGTTAATTTAGCTGTAGCCATTACAACTGTAAATATAAATAAACCACGAAACATTCATCTTATAAAGTGTAACAAATTCCTTATGCAGTGCCCAGAGAATGAGCGAGGTGATCTTCTGATATTCCTGAGTGGTATGACAGAGATTATGACCGTGGTAGAAGCTGCCAAGATATATGCAGAGAAAACCAAAAAGTGGATCATTTTGCCTCTTCATAGTTCTCTATCTATATCTGAGCAGGACAAGGTTGGTATAATAAATGTTTAGCAAGTAAAAATAAATTGTCTTGATATTTGAACAGGAGGGGGTTGGAATGTACCGTAAGTAAACTTAAGATCAGGACAAGATTACTTTTGTAAACAAGCACAATTTTCTACATCTGAGAAAGATCATGTTAGCAGATACATGTATCAAAAACCTATAATAAATTAAATGCATAATTTGTAGCAGAGGCAATTCCTCAAAGTCCAAAAATGTCACATACCAGATGATCATATTAATCTCTAGACTGGCCCCTGTCTCTAGAATATTGAATCATTTAGAAAAAACAATTGACTCTAATAATTTTTATCACCTGAATGTCTGATTCTAGCCCAAGTTCTAAACTAGGGGGAGCCAAGCTAATAGTAAAATGCAGCCAGGAAATGCTTCATAAAAACTTTGGGGCTGGTAGCCAGTCTAGTTGATCTCTTACAGATACATGTAGCTATAGTTAGTGAACTGTTAAATTTTGAAAGATTCATTATTTTGTCGTGTTCATTCGTGAAGCCAATCTGTACTTGGTTGATCGACGGTGACTAGATCGCTTAGTTTGTAGAGCATCCATTGTGTTAATTAAGTGAGTCTGGATTCCTGTCTTGTTACCTCAGTATCCTTGGAGAGACATGTTTGGATCTTGGCTACAAACATGGATTTCCTTGATCATATAATGCCTGCAGGTGGGTATATGGCTCATTGTGGAGAAAATGTCACCTCAGCTGTGATTGGCTAGAAAATCATGCCTAAAGAGTATGACTATAGGTATTGACAAGATTTGATCAACAGATGAACACCAATGTATACTTGAAGTATTTAACCCTTTCACCACTGTAGACCATAACGGACTCATCCAGATCAAAGCATGGAAGAGTTTACTGAAGTTACATAGGGGTGAAAGGGTTAAATCAGGTAATGGCTGTACCTCTATTCTGGTTGAACGTTGAAGAGATGAATGTTTTCAATGTTTCATGTATAAATTGTATACACTCAGGTGTTTGACATTGCCCCAGAAGGAGTCAGGAAGTGTATCATATCAACCAACATAGCCGAGACCTCGGTGACCATTGACGGTGTCCGGTTTATAGCCGACTCTGGAAAGGCAAGTAACATCATATGAGTTGGATATTTCTTCAATCATTGATATTGCCTTCAGTATACGTTTTCATTTGGTGACTCAGGAGCAAACAGATGATGCACCTCTGACAGATAGTTTTTTTCTACTAAAAAAATATATCTTTTTGTACTACACGTTGGTGATTGTTAAACGATCTGAATTCTAAAACTCGAAAAAAAACAGTAATTTTGTTTCCTTTTTGAAGTGTTTGTCAAGTACTAAACAACTACATGCATTCATAAACTGCAGTAATTTTAAGACAAATATTGTATATTTCTTTGTGATATCAGGTGAAAGAAATGAACTTTGACCCCAAATACAAGATGCAGAAGTTACAGGAGTTTTGGATCAGCAGAGCAAGTGCTGAACAGAGAAAAGGTCGAGCAGGTAAGTTATTTCCTGTGTACCTGTGTCAGCCCCTGTAATTACGATAGTTGGAGATTATTTGATATGCATTCTCTTTTATTAGCATTCATCCACAAGCGATAACACTTCCAGTTTAAAAAGATTTTAACTAAAATCATTAGAAAATATTTATCAATGGGATTTTTTTCAATCCTAAGAAATCTAAAACACTAAAATAAGGCCCTCTGGTTGCCCAGTTAGGTTATGGATTATTCTTTGATACACTTGCACATTGACTGGTGATCACAAGGCTAGATCTATACTTATTGGCCAATAAGGTAAATAGGCTGTTCATTGATGGTTTTGATTTGATATGCAAGTGGGAACTTTGAAATATTTTGAGTCTGTCATTGATGGGTGGCTGTTGATATTTGTTTTGGTATCCAAGTGAGAACTTTGAATATTTTGGAGTCTGTGATACACCTTTTCAGGTAGGACCGGTCCTGGTGTTTGTTACCGCCTGTACGAGGAGAAGGACTATGACGAGTTCCAGGAGTTTGCTACGCCAGAGATACAGAGAGTGCCCCTCGACTCCCTCGTCTTACAAATGATCTCCATGGGGCTGCCTGATGCCAGGAAGTAAGATAGTACTTTAAAAGGTGTTTGGTGTAGACGAATTGTGTGCGACGGTTATCAGCCACTGATAGATACATGCAGAATTCAAAAACTAATATTTGAGATTATGTAAATAATTGATACATAGAGGATGGTGTCTTCAGTAATAACAAATGTATTTCACGAGTGTGACTAATATTATGATATTTTTCACGAGTAAAATATATTTGTTACTACTGAAGACACCATTGAATCAAGTATAAAACATGAAAAATGTAATGCATTTAAAAAGGGCGGGAATCAGAAGCGTAATAATTAGCGCCATATTCTAATGACGTGAACAAGGCTTGTGCGCCATTTTGAATCGGATTCTCGACGCAGTTCCGACGCTTTCTGCTATTTTCTGGTATAATTGCTTATAAAAATGTTATTAATTGTATATTTATGTAAATAATGAAGTGTGTGTACCAAACATTTACCATAACAACCACTTATTCTACTGTTGCTTCATTTGAATCTGAACAAAAAATCGTTGCCTTTGAAAGCAGCGAATAGAAGATACCATTATGATTGGTCAATACCAAAAAGTTATATTTTCACACTGTGAAATATCACTTCTGATATTTGTCACAGTGTGAAAGATATCAGTTTTATCAAGTTGATAGAATCTGATATTTCACTGGCAAAAATGTAATAAATTAGTCTCTTTGCATGTTGAGGAAGATTACATCATATGTAGGAAAATATTGTCCTAGTTGAATATCCTACTTCCATGTTCAATGTCATAAATAAAAGTTGAAAGTAGTATTTCCAGATAATAAAGATGAACATAACATTCTGTATATAAAATAGTGCTCTTCTACTCTAAGTCCTAAACTATATCTTATACTCAGTCTAAACCATATACACTACAATAAAATAAAGGTTAGGTTAATGCTATAACCCAATTCTAATATACCCTAATGATTATTTTAATTACTTAATTAATATGTTTTATAGTAAATAGTGTTTAGTTATGATTATTGAAGTTGCCTGATGTGAAACGTTTATAAATATCCAGCTATTTGATTCACAAACTAAGAAATAAACGCTTGTGATTTCTGCTAGGTTCCCGTTCCTGGAAGCTCCGGAGATGAGTAGTATCGAGAACTCGATTATTTTTCTGAAGGAACAGGTAAGTTTAACGTACATTAATGTGTTCAACAAGTGAAATGTCTGTTACAGTGAAACCTGTCTAAACATAACATACACACCAATTAACTAATTCAGGATGACGTAGGACAAGATTGTTTTGAGTTCATTTCAGAAGACAAGTTAAGTATAATATGAGTTTACTTATTTATATACTATAAAATTAATGTAAAAAAAATAAGTACAATCTTATTTAAGTGGTTTTCATGTTTGAATTATTATGCTTGTTGCAATTTCTGTACGAATAGCTTTGCATGTGCACATGTATTGGGAGTGTGCCAATATTCACCAATACACTAACATTTGTTTAGGCTAAAATAATTGTGTTTACAGTACTGATAAAGAAATGTTTTGGGTGTCAGTGCCGAGATAAGTGTTAAGATTAGTGAGTCTGTGAAGTGCCGGACAATTTGCTATAGACTAACTTGCATTGACTTGAGAAGTTTTACCATGATGACGGTATTTGGTGCAGTTATCATTCATGCTTGATATCCTACTGTACTTCAGGGTGCGCTAAGAGGAGATGAAACCCTCACACCGATTGGTCAGATGCTGTCACGGTTACCTGTTGATGTGGTGATTGGTAAAATGCTCATCATGGGATCAATATTCCATGTAAGTGATGGTACTTTTGATCAGGTTAAATGTCAATATTCCATGCTGGTAGTAATACAGGATCATAGAACGAACTGATTTACATTTGAATAGACCCGACATCACTTGGTCAGCAGAAACGTATACGGTGATATTTAAGAGTTACTGTTTACTTGCAAAAACTCACAAATGACCGAATTCTTCAGATAAAGCAGATAATTGTTACTTGTACAGATACATAATTGATACCCTATGATCTGCATGATAAATTGTAATACTGGTACATGTTATTATATGCAATGATAGATGAAACATTGTGTGAAACGCTTCTAAAATGCTGAAAACGATTAATGACACTTAGTGTCTTAACTATCAAAGTAAGTCAAGTACATGTCACTGAAGCTAAGCTTACATTAGAGCTTTAAAGTTATCATTACTTATTTAGGTTAAATACGGCAGCAAATTCATGAGGTTGTTGAAAGCAGAATGATGATTTTGTTGCTCTGGAGAAAATACACTGTGAATGTTGTTTCTTACCTCCAACAGATCACTGACCCAGTACTGTCCATCGCAGCAGCCATGAGTGTCCAGTCCCCATTTACTAGTAAAGCACACTCTGACCATGATGCTATTGTGAGTATAATTTTAACATAGAATTATATATGTCTGATTAGATTTTTGTCATTAAATTCTTTGATAATTTGGAACTTGGTTTAAAGGAATAAAAGAAAATTTAAGTCAAAATTGTATTATTATTGACATTTTAATAAATGAAATGTTTATATCACAACCTTTTGGAATAATTCAACATATATATTATAAAGAACTATCACAGAGACATCTGTAACGGGCAATGCAAGTGGACAGGTCTTTTTGGTAATATACTCCATATCCAACCAACACTCATCCCGCTGTCCCACTCCATATCCAACCAACACTCATCCTACTGTCCCACTCCATATCAAACAAACACTCATCCCGCTGTTCCACTCCATATCCAACCAACACTCATCCTACTGTCCCACTCCATATCAAACCAACACTCATCCCTCTGTCCCATTCCATATCCAACAAACACTCATCCTACTAACCCACTCCATATCCAACCAACACTCATCCTACTGTCTCACTCCATATCCAACGAACACTCATCCTACTGTCCCACTCCATATCCAACCAACACTCATCCTACTGTCCCACTCCATATCAAACAAACACTCATCC